GACTTTACTTTGCAGACAGAATTATTAATTTCCTCCTAGGATTTTCTTTGATGCTCATCACTGTGTAGTCTGTAGTGTGTGAGTTCTTCACAAATAGTTTTTCTTCACAACTCTGGGAGAGGCCTTTAAAAAGGAAGTTCTTCTGAGCACCCAAAACCCTGGAATGAAGCATGCTGTTGCTCTATATGGAGATCACACATTCAGAGTCCGATCAGAATTAAGAGCTATCAGAGGCGGGAACATGCACAGCGTAAATGGAATTTTAGGAGATTGTATCAGTGAAGCTGCAGGAAATCACTACTGAGCATTGCACATTGCAGTTTTTGTCATAGGTTTGTAACTCAACCACATTTTTGTTGGCACCGGTAAAGACACATATCTGACACAAAGGCTGTCTAAAATGTGTAGTCCATAATTCAAAGAATGAGTATTTACACCATTTAAAAAAAAAAGTTTCCAGAATTTTTTAACATGGGCATATCTATGCATTTTCCCAACCTCTGGTCTTGGATTGCTGAACTTTTTCCAGCAGAAATGAAACTATATCCACCTGAGGTAGATACTTGACACAGAAAATTTCAGTTGAAAAGGTTAAAGTTTGTCAGAAGTTGTAAGGAACAGAAAATAGGGTCTTAAAATGAGAAGTCTCATGTAATCTTAATAACATAGTTCTTGTCTATACTAGGGAGTTATTTTGTAATAACCCCCTGTGACGGGGTGAGACAGAATTCATGAGGTTACTCAACTATTTAATTAACTGATATTTAACATCCCTATGACAGTACATCTGTCTCCGCGCTTAGCAGCACGAATGCCGGGGGCAGAGCGGGAGACGCAGCCCAAGCGGCGCCGGCGTACAGGGCAGGCGGGAAGGCGGTGACGCATCTCAACGCGCCCGCCAGCGTCGCTGACGTCAGCGACGCGACCATGGCAAGGGAGGCGGACCTGGCAAGGGGGGCGGAGCACCCGGAAGTGAGGGGAGGAGAAATGGACGTGGGGAAGGATAAGAGGGGCAATGGACGGGGCAAGGGGGAAGAAGAGCGCCAGTCACGAGGGGGAGGCAAGAAGGAGGAAGGGGGAACGGAGGACGTGAACGGGAGGGGAGAGGTAACCCGCACTTACCCCCCCCCCCAGCCGCAAAACAGGGGGGGGGGGC